GGCTCTTAAGACATGGAAAGTGACCTCTCTGGTGGGGAAGGAGCCTGAGCTTGTGCGTGAGATTGAGAGGTACCGACTAGATATAGTTGGGCTTACCTCGAAGTACAGCATGGGCTTTTGAACCAATCTCCTTCAGAGGGGCTTGAGAAGGGCTGAACCTTATTCCACTCTGGAGTTGCCCATGGTGAGAGGTGCTGAGTTGGTGCGGGTCTACTCTTAGCCCCCCAACTTGGTGCTTGTGTGTTAATGTGCATTCACACCAGCCCTGTTTAGTCCACTTTAATAGAACTCTAGCTCGTTTTCCTAGGAAGTCCAGTTAATTTGGGGAGGTGTGAACGCGCCATCGAACTCTGTCATGGAATAAAAAGGCGAACTCTGGCCTGGGCTAAAACCTAGGTCTCGGTCCGGTAGAAGAGAACTCCAGCGCGGTTCGAGTACAGTGTGAATGAAATCAGACCGGGCCCCGCTCCACAAGCAAGAAGTGGAGTACAGTGCATGCAAACAAACACGCATTTCACTTACTTTATATGGAGACGTCAGTTGCCTTGTGTGAAAAACAATATTCTCCATGGTCTTCTGCCTCATCTTCTGCTCATGCTGAATCCATTTTTGAAAAATGACAAAATATGACTCTTAAAACTACTAAAACTTGATGCCACTCTGTTTTTGTTTTTATTTCCAGAAGAAGAAGAAGTGTCTTCAAAGGTTTTTGTGTCATTTCTTTCAGTAGTTCTTGGTGCAGCGCCACCACAGGTTGGCTCGACTGCATATAGCAGTGGGAATGCAAATGCACCAGCTCAAATGTAAACAAAATGTTATGACTATTGGTCCCCAACCGAACCGAGTCTACCAGACTATTAGGTGTGAAAACAACCTTAGAGTTTTTCCTGGTAGATGAGAGGGTAGCTTCCCTGCACCTTCAGGTGGGGGGGACAGGCTCTGACTGTTGTTTGTGCCTATGCGCCGAACGGCAGTTCAGAGTATCTGGCCTTCTTGGAGTCCTTGGCAGGGGTGCTAGAAGGTGTGCCAGCTGGGGAGACCTTTATTCTGCTGGGGGACTTCAATGCCCACCTGGGTAACGACAGTGTGACCTGGAGGGACATGATTTGGAGGAACAGCTCCTCTGATCTGAACCAGAGTGGTGTTCTGTTGTTGGACTTCTGTGCTAGTCATAGTTTGTCCATCACGACCACCATGTTTGAACATAAGAGTGTCCATAAATGCACTTGGCACCAGGACGCCCTAGATCGTAGATAAATGATTGACTTTATAGTTGTGTTATCTGATTTGCAGCCATTTGTTTTGGACAGTCAGGTGAAGAGAGAAGCTGAGCTGTCAACTGATCACCACCTGGTAGTGAGTTGGATCAGATGGCAGTGGAAGATGCCAGACAGACCTGGTAGACCCAAACGTGTAGTGAGGGTTTGCTGGGAACACCTGGCAGAAGAACTCGTCAGAAAGGTCTTCAACTCACACCTCCGGAAGAACTTTAACCGCATCCCAACTGAGGTGGCGAACATTGAGTCTGAGTGGGCTATGTTCCCTGAGTCATTTGTTGAAGTGGCTGCCTTGAGCTGTGGCTGCAAGGTTGTCCCTGCTTCTCGTGGTGGCCATCCTTGAACTTGGTGGTGGATACCAGGGTTACGGAGGTTGTCAAGCTGAAGAAGAAGTCCTATCTGGCCTTATTGGCTGGTGGAACTCTGAAGGCAGCTGAGGAGTATCAGAAGGCCAAGCAGTCCATAGCCTTGGCTGTTACTGAGGCAAAAGCTCGGATGTGAGAGGAGTTTGGTGAGACCCTGGATAATGACTCTCAGTCGGCTCCGAGGAGATTCTGGCAAACCATCAGGCGGATGAGGAGGGGAAAGCAGCGCTTTATCAACACTGTGTTCAGTGGATGTGGGATGCTGTTGACCTCAACCAGTGATGTCTTTGGAAAGTGGAAGGAATACTTCTCAGACCTTCTCAATCCCACTGGTAAGTCTTCCATGGAGGAAGCAGAGTCAGGGGACTTCGGGGTTGGTCTGTCCATAACCATGGCTGAGGTCACCGAGGTAGTTAAAAAGTTCCACAGCGGCAGGGCTTCAGGGGTGGATGAGATTCGCCCTGATTTCCTTAAGGCTCGGGATGTTGTGGGGCTGTCTTGGTTGACATGCCTTTGCAACGTAGTGTGGACATTGGGGGCAGTGCTACTGGATTGGCAGACTGGGGTGGTGGTTCCCCTCTTCTAAAAGGGGGATCGAAGGGTGCGCTCCAATTACAGGGGCATCACTCTCCTTAGCCTCCCTGGTAAGGTCTATTCAGGGATACTGGAAAAGCAAGTCCGATCGTTGGTCAAACCTCAGATCCAGGAGGAACAATGCGAATTCCATCCTGGATGTGGAACACTAGACTAGTTCTTTACCCTCAAAAGGGTCCTCGAAGGGTCGCTGGAGTTTGCCTATCCAGTTTACATGTGTTTTGTGGACTTGGAGAAGGCATTTGACTGTGTTCTTTGGTGGGAAATGTAGGGGGTGCTCCTTGAGTATGGGATTGGGGGCCCGTTGTTACGAGCTGTTTGGCCCCTATACAAGCAGTGCGAGAGTTTGGCTCGCATTGCCGGTAGTAAGTCGGACACCTTCAGGGTTGGAGTTGGACTCCGACAGGGCTGCCCATTGTCACAGATTCTGTTCATAACTTTTATGGACAGAATTTCTCAGTGCAGCCAGGGGGTGAAGGATTTCCAGTTCGGTGGCCTCAAGATTCCATCTCTGCTCTTTGCAGATGATGTGATGCTGTTTGTGTCATCAGGCCATGATCTTCAGCTCTCACTGGAGCGGTTTCAGAGTCAGAGAGTCAGAGTTTCTTTATTGTCATTCGCACCTCATGTGGTACATGTGGTGGAGCGAAATTATGTACGCAGGGTCCCAGTTACATCCAACAATAAAATGTATAAGAAAAACAGTAATGACATCTAAGATATGAACTAAGAAAAACATCAACTAAATATACACTAAGCACTCATAACATAAAACATTGAACATCAGCACAAACATGAACATGAGTCTGTGTGTATGTGCACGCATGAACACATCAACATTGAAACAGATCAGCAGCAACATGATATGGTTTTTCACAGTGATTATTCTAGTTAGAGATTCATGAGTCTAACAGCCTCAGGGTAGAAGCTGTTCCTCAGTCTAGTGGTTCTACACTTAATGATCTTTAACCTCCTTCCTGAGGGAAGTGGGGCAAAAAGTGTGTGCTGGGTGAGTGGGGTCCTTCATGATGCAGGTGGCCCTCTTCCTGCATCTGGAGGTGTAGATGTCTGTGATGGTGGGGAGACTGATTCCAACAGATTTCTGTGCAGCCTTCACCACTCTCTGCAAAGCTTTTCTTTCTGCAGCTGTGCAGCCTCCATGCCACACATTGATGCTCGAGCACAGGATGCTCTCCACTGCACACCTGTAGAAGGAGGTGAGGACTGAGCTTCCCAGACCAGCTCGCCTCAGCCGTCTGAGGAAGTAGAGTCTCTGATGAGCTTTCTTGATCAGGCTGGTGGTGTTGTTGCTCCAGCTGAGGTTGTCATTCATGTGTACACCCAAGTACTTTTAGCTGGAGACCACTTCCACCGCAGATCCTCTTATGTTCAGGGGGGTGTAGGTGTTTTTGTTCCTTCTGAAGTCCACAATCATCTCCTTTGTCTTCTTCACATTGATGTGAAGGTTATTCTCTCTGCACCAGCTCTCCAGGTGTTCCACCTCCTCCCTGTAGCTGGACTCATCATTGTTTGTGATGCATCCCACCACCGCTGTATCATCTGCAAACTTTACAATGTGACAGCCTGGATGGGTAGCTGCACAATCATATGTGAGCAGAGTAAACAGAAGGGGGCTCAACACACATCCCTGAGGAGAGCCAGTGCTGAGGGTTATGGTGGAGGAGGAGAGGTTGTGGATCCTCACTAACTGTGGTCTGTTTGTTAAAAAGTCTAGTACCCAGTTGCAGATGGAGGGGCTTAGTCCTAGTGTGGATAGTTTGTCCATCAGGGTTTGGGGGATCATGGTGTTGAAGGCGGATGTGAAGTCCACAAAGAGCATACGGACGTAAGAGTTTTTCTGCTCCAGGTGGTTGAGCGCAGTGTGGACCACAGAGGAGATTGCATCCTCTGTTGATCGGTTCTCACGGTATGCGTACTGATGAGGGTCCTCGTTGATGTTGATGGTTGTTTTGATGTGAGTCATGACCAGTTTTTCGAAGCATTTAGCGACTATCGGGGTGAGGGCCACTGGCCGATAGTCATTCAGACCAGTCACTGTAGAGCTTTTTGGGACTGGGATGATGGTGGCAGTCTTCAGGCAGGTGGGAACTGTCTCCAGGGTAAGTGAGGTGTTAAAGATGTCTGCCAGCACCTCACAGAGCTGATCAGCACATTCCTTCAACACTTTTCCTGGGATGTTGTCTGGGCCAGTTGCTTTGTGCGGATTAATCCTCCTGAAGGTACTCCTTACTTCTGCTGAGGTCACGCTGAGATGCTCTTCATCCGGTGGCGAGGTGAGTCTGGTGCTGGGTGGTCTGTTCGGGTCTTCAAAGCGTGCATAGAACTTGTTGAGGGCATCAGGCAGAGATGGGTCTTTGGGACATTGTTCGCTCCTTCCTTTATAATCTGTTATGCACTTAATGCCCCTCCACATGCTCCGAGGGTCTTGTGAGATGAATTGACCCTCGATCCTCTTTGCATATGTGGCCTTGGCCCTCTTAATACCAGCAACCAGCTCTTTTCTTGTCCTACTCAGCTCCTCTGAGTTTCCAGACCTGAAGGCAGTGTTCCTGGCTTCCAGCAGGGTACGCAACTCTGCATTCAGCCAAGGTTTTCTGTTTGGGTAGCTTTTAACATTTCTGATAGTGGAGACTGTGTCAGTACATGTACTAATGTAACCCAGTACTGAGGATGTGTATTGGTCAAGATCAAGCGAACCTCCATTTTCAGCAGCTTCTCTGCAGCTGAGTGTGAAGCAGCTGGGATGAGAATCAGCACCTCCAAAACTGGGGCCATAGTCCTCAACCGGAAAAGTTGGACCCATAGAGATTCCCTTAGAGATAGGGTGAGAAGTTCTGTTATCTGGAAGATACTCAGAGTAGAACCGCTACCCCTCTACATCAAGACGAGCCAGTTGATGTGTTTCGGGCATCTGGTAAGGATGCCCCCTGGGCGCCTCACTAGAGAGGTGCTTTGGGCATGTCCAACTGGGAGGAGGCCCCGGGGAAGACCCAGGACCGGCTGGAGAGACTATGTCTCTCGGTTGGCCTAGGATCGCCTTGAGGTCCTCCCAGAAGACCTAGAAGAGGTGGCTGTGGAAAGAGAAGTCTGGGCCTCCCTGCTCAAGCTGCTGTCCCCGCGACCCAACTTTGGAACAAGCGGTAGATAATGGATGGATGGATGGATGGATGGATGGATGGATGGATGGATGGATGGATGGATGGATGGATGGATGGATGGATGTTTGTTTGTGAAAAAAAACTTCAGCTGACTGTGTATCCTAAAAGTGGGAACTGGGGAGTTTGTTTGTTTGTTTGTTTGTTTGTTTCTGGAGCTAGCATGCTAGCGCTAGCCTCCAGGTTATTGTATTGGACTCTGTGATAAATCATGACTTATGCTACATTTATTTGAATGTGCTTATAGAAAAAATAATTATCAAACAATACTTTTCTATACTAAATGTCACTGATGGTATTGTTCTACTATTTCTGAACACCTGCATTTGTATTGATCTGGATAATGAAAAATTAGCCTCTTGCAATAAGTAACTAGCTCCATTGAAGCATTTAAAGTGAAGGTACATTGAAATGAAATGGTGAAATGCTATTGCAATATTGTGTGCTAAGATGCAATATTAGGACCTTTAATATTAGGAATATTTAAGAGTACTCAAATAATGAGCTTGATTCTTTTTATATTATGAGCTTGTATTACTATAATAATGATGATAAAACATGTACATGTATTGCTTATATTTATGATGGTTTTTGATATTGATAAAACCCAGGGTTATTGATTATTAGGTCTGTTTCACACAGGCCAGGTTCCTGTTTCCACGTCTGTTGATGAGCTAACCAGAATTGATGGAGAGCTAAAACTCAAAAATAGACATATATATATATATAT